TCAAATCACGAGGCTGAACAGGGCCAAGTGACTCCTGAATTACCTATCGGTCTCTGTGAGCACATTGTGGTATCCTCACTATGGCAACACCAGTGGAGAGTGGCTCTCCGGAGATGGGTGTTCACCACAATCTCTCCGGATGGAAGACATAAAGAAAGCTCATGGGCCAGTAGGCAAGGTTAAAAATCATCAATATATTTTTACAAATCAACCAAAATTCCAGACCCTTTATACTATACAGATGGAAAGCGGTTGACCTGCTTTAACTGCAATAGTTGTAGCACCAATGGTGACCTAACCAGGACGACAATATCGGGGAGATTAACCGACTGATCCAACAGATGATACTGGAGAATGTGGCGTTTTGTGCTTTTATTTTGCTTCCATTATAACGATACGTATTTCGTCCATTGCATAATCGTTTTTTGTTTGAATACGAAAAACTACAAAAACTTGCACTTGTACAAATTCACAGAATACAAACGTGGTCACGTGCTCCGACTCTCTCTCTCTTCTGATTTCGCTCAGGCTTCCAGTGGTCATTCGCGAGTCTCACGTGCTCCCTGTGATATCAAAACATTTCAGACCATCTCCGGAATCTAGTATATGTGGGACCTGTTCAGGCGAAGACCCCTGGACCACTTCAATTGGTTTATTGTTCATTCGCTGACCTGGGCCATCGACGGACTGTTTTGGGGAGAACAATTTTTAGTGAGTCTGTTCCGTCTGGCCTCTTTGTTATTATATACCCTACTTAGCGTTATTGCTTTTCTTTGCCACACATTCCTGGTAAACTCACTTTTTGGGTAGCTAGATCACTACAAGAACAAGGCTGACGTCCCTCGTCCTGACGTCCTTTGTCCCCGGATGCATGCTATATATCTAAGACGGCGGCAGGATCTTTTCACCCTCCAGGGAACATTTACTGCGACAAAACTGATTCGGTTAGAATGAGATGGATGGTTGCGAGTGCTTATAGGCATGTTTTGACATTCGGAGTGGGAGCACGATGGAAAAAACTGACCATTATATCAGCCAGTTTCGAGCAATAAAGGCACATCAACCACTACAAAATCTTCGATGATCCGAACCGCAAGGCCCTTGTGGCGAATAACTAAGGGCGTTTTTGGTGACCCGTTTAGTTACAGTAGACTTGCTTATCGGTTCGGGAAGATGGGAAGCGGGCCAAGTTGGAGATTCATGAATAAGCTACGAGTAGTTTTATTTAGCTTAGTTGATGTTTTTGCCATCCGGAGGTCTGATTTCTTCAGGTGCTTTGTTTAGAAAGAACGATTGAAGTCCGGCAGCTAGTCGATTTTCTTCATGGACCCTCATTGCGTGACCGCGATACACAGAAAGGAATTATGTTCAAATTTGGTGGTCATCAGCCCTGATGATGTTTATTCTTTGAGCTGTTGCTGTCCGCCCGCGATCAAAGCGGTCAGCGCGCTGGATTGTTTCTTACTTTTTGGACGACTTGAAAGTAAATTAGGCGTATTGCGTGTGTTTCGCCGTCTATGATAAGACTAAAATGGCAACGGTTGTACTTGTTTGCTATTTTCGATACGTGCGTAACTTGACAGAATATGGAACTGGCAAGACAGTGGCCAGTAGACCAGCGCAAGCGGGATTTTTAGTGATAACTTTGCGGGGCCATTCAATTTGTACTAAATTTAGGGAGTTTGATAACTCGGATCAGCTTTGTTGAAGTTTACTCAAAACAACTTGTTCCTGTGGTTTTTCAAATATCATTGGAATAGTACAAGGCCGAGGGTTGCTAGCGTATGAAAGAACCAGTTTTTGTTAATGGGGTTTTGGGTGGGCGAAACGTGGCGGTATATTGGAGATCCCTGAAATCTATGGTGCTTTTGGGAGAGCAGGTTTAGGTGCAAGTGTTGCTCTGGGAAGTTGAATTTCCGTGGTGTGCCAAAAACTGTGGTGCTTTGCGGCTGTAATTTTTTGAGCTACTTTTGCAACTTTTTGGCCGATGAGATGGGCCTTTCTCAGGACTCTCAGGCGGCGGACCAATATTCAGTTTGGCGGAGGGCATGGGTTATTTCCGTGTTTTTCCTCGGGTTTAATGACTTATCAGCAAAATAAGGATCCGAGCGAGAACAACGTCCCTCCGGGCCTGTGCGTCGTGCAACTCCACGAATAATGAATGGCTCCAGTTATACAGTCCACTGGCGCTTCTCTGTGGGACCACATGCAGGAGCCCGCTTATTTCCTCCCGGGCGCAGATATCGACGGTCTAGCGTAAAGC